GGGCAAAAATAATTGTCAAATGAAAAAGTGAATTAGTATCACCAAGCCCAATTGTCACTTCTTTCTTCTACTGTCATTTTTAAAAAGCCTCCCAGGCCAGTGGTAGATGCCAACTACACACGCAAGACATAAAACATATGAGGTGGGTTTTCTCAGTAGCTGTAGCCATGCAGGCGCCTGAGAGATGGAAGAGCAAGAGTCTGAGGCAAAGGGGTCACTGTAAAGCAGAGAAAGGAGAGCAAAGATCTCAATATTGGGGCTGAGACAATAAACACAGCAGCTTCGGTTTCACGAAGGAAATGCTGGGAACAAGCAGATTCAGCCAGAACCCAACTCAGTTCCGTATAACCTAAAGATAGTGGAGAAAGCAGAAATGGGCTCTCTCACCTCTAACGACGCCTGGGGGTCCTCGTCGATCAGACTATCTGAGAAGCTCTGGAAAAACCTGGCAGGAAAACAACGAGTTCAGTAGACTCATTAACCAAGGTAAGAAAGATAAAAAGAACAGCAAAGGAGAGGAGAAACACGCACCGCTGGGCTGTTGTAGGTCCTGCTGTAGCCGCCGCCATCCCTAAGTTACTGTTGCAGCTGCCTGAGACACTGCCACCGCGGTTACCAGCTCCGCCGCCCGAGGGGGAAACTTCTGGAGAAACACCAACCAAGCTTCCGTCCTAAACAGCCAACGAGCAGGCACGCAGCGTGCGGCTGGGGGAGGAGAGATGACCAGCGCCCGTGGGGTGGGCTGGGAAGGTGGAGGACTGGTTCTCCCGTTCGGCATTGGGTTCCGCCCCTAGCCATGGTTACGGAGGCCTGTGATTTCCGCTTTCGCTCTCTTCCTCCACGCACCAACTCCCCCCCCCCGCCCCCCTGCCAGCACTATTAACAAAACTGGGAAGGCTAGTATCTCAAAACCACTTTGGTAACGCTCAGGAAAGTGTGGCGGTTAGGGGCGTACGCAAGGCTGCTAATATGCTACAGTGAGCTCCATTTTCACTAGTTTTCATCATGGCTGCCACAGAGAGCCTTGCCTTTCGTGACGAGTAACGTCATTCGCAGCTGCGGGTGCTTTTCCGGGAGCAGAGTCCCAAATGGAGCACAGATTCCCGCGATCGTTGCGCTGACAATCCTAACCGGCTGAAGCTCGCCAAAAGCGTTTTATCCTGGCTGAAACTAGAGAAGAAAAATTGAGGTTCCCATGGGCCTGTGCCCAATTAATGTTTGTTGATCCATTTTCTAGCCCAAGCTTGCTTCCTAATCGGCTTCCCAGACGAAGGGGAAAAACCTTTTCTATCCGAAGGCACAGAAGGAAGGAATGTAGCCTAAAACTGTCTCAGTGCTGCTTTGTTTTTCAATTTACTCAGGCTCTTCCCCACTGCCCTTTGACCCTAGCTGATCCAACCAGGAAACTTCCAGCAAGCTAGTACCCTGGGACAGGGTAGAATAGGGTACATAGAAGGAGAATGAGAGGCTCAGTGGATATAGACAAGTTCCTGAACTAGAGGGTCTACTACAAACTCTATACCAACTTGGAATTCAAAGATGTTAATGGCCTCAAGATGTTTGAACCAGTTCTAAGTGATAAGTTGAAAGGAGCCTAAACAGACAAGAGGGAGCACTTTATAGGGTTTCTTCCTCCAAGCTGCGATATTTTAAGATCTGCCTAAAAGATGAAAGTTGATGGAGGAAGGGAAAGGCATTTATTTAGCCAATAAGTGAAAGTTATTGCTGGATATTACAGGTTTTCTTACAATTCTCTTTATATGTTTCCCAAGTTTAGCAACTAACTGATCAAGTAGCTAATTAGAAAACTTGTTTTAAAGTGTTTAATATTATTGCTGAGCATATGTTCTTCCCTAATTTGAGTGGCTTGGTTGTTACCATTAGAATGTCCTAAAACTTATAATGAAATTGAATTGCTGTTTGTATTGGTCAACTTTGTGTTGTGCTGGGATAAACCCTCAACTTAGAGAAGTTTTATTTTATTTGGCTCATAGTTTCAGAGGTTTCAGTCTATCTTCAGCTGGCTCCAAAGCACAAACAGCATGGCAGAGGGCATGGGAAAGGAGAGCTGCTCCAACATGGCTAGCAGGAAGCAGAAAGGGAGCAAAAAAGGCATAGAGGAAGAGGCAGAGGACAGCAATATACTCTTCCAGGTCACACACCCCCACCCCAGTGACCCACTTCTTCCAACCAGGCCCTACATCCTGATAGCACATTCAGTTTTGAACTCTTTAGTGCATATAATCCACTGAAGAGACAAGTGCCCCCTTCATCCAATCACTTTCCAAAAGCCTCCCTCTGAACACATGAGCCTTTTGTATTGGAAGGTGATCAATCCTCTGACTGCCTAGAAAGAGGAACAGTGAGGGCTAAAGAGAAAAAGAGACAATAGAGACTTGCATAATTTCAAAGTATATGGGGAGCCAGGAGGTCAGCTGGCCACCATTTATTGGATACACAGAATAACTGGAGGGAGTATCAGGTGATTTAGGGGCCAGAGGTAATCCTATGTAGATGAGGATCTTATGCTAATGAAGATCTTAGGTCAGAGGTTCTTAAATTGAGGACTGTAAGGAGAGCATTCTTATAACAGTGGGTGGGAGGGGTTAGGCTGATAGAAGGAAATTTGTCCCTCGCCAGGTGAAGCCTTTCTCTTTTTTAAAAAATTACTTGGTTCTACCTGGATGTCTTCAGCTGATGCAATCTTGCCCTTGAGGACCACAGCATCAGGGACCATTGAGGCCTCAGCTGTGACTGAAAGCAAACCGGAGTTATGTTTCCACATGCCATAGCCTGCTCTTAGACAAGGTAACATTGAGTCTTAGATAGCTATAGTCATAATTTAATTATGAAATGATTTTCCCCAAAATTTATGTAGAATGGCTCTCAACACTTTTGGGGGACTGTTAGGGCTTATATCTAGATGTCCCTCCAAAGCCTCATGTGGTCATAGGTGGGGCTTTTTAGAGGTGGCTCCATTTGGGTGTGTGATGCTGGGATCAAGGATGTGATGCTAGGATTAAAACTCCACACCCTGGGTGTGAGTGCAACCCACCCTAAGGGTAGGTAGCCTAAATAGGATGTAAGGGACAGAAAGAGGGTCATCGACTTCTGCCTGCAGTGAATTGTTTCTCCTCTTCGATGCCCCTCTGCCATGCTGCCAGCCAACTATGAACTGAAACCTCTACACACTGTGAGCCAAATAAACCTTTCCTCTTTCAACTCTGAGTGTTGAGTATTCTGTCTCAGCAACAAGAAAAGTAAGACAGGGACAAATTAAACCATAACACTATTGTAACTGTTAAGAGCTGGGACCTTTTAAGAGGTGATGAGATAATCTGGGCCCTCCTCTTCTGAGTGGATGACCACCATTATCTCAGAAGATTTGTTATCTCTTGCTCCTGCTTTCTGCCATAGGATGACACAGCAAAAATACTCAAAAGAGATGCCAGTGCTATAATTGGCCTTCCCATCCTCTAGAACTATGAGAAATAAATTTCTTTATACATTAGTCTGTGATATTGTTATAGAAGCAGAAAATGGACTAAAATGGACTAAGTCTTTGGTAATCTGTTTTGTGATGTCTAGAAACTGCCATATGGAATCGTAAAAAGGAAAAGCGAGAGGATGACATCCTGCAATTCTGACTAATGGAGTTTGTTTTTAGTATATGTGCTGCTAAAGCGAGCACTGGAGTTTGTTACAGAACACTAAATACTAGCAATATTCTCTTGATATTCTTTAAGAAATGTTTACCTGAAAGCGGAATTTTTACATGATTTATTTAATAATAAACCAGTTAAAGATACAAAAACATTTAGAGAATTCCAAAATTTAAATTTTTGTTTAAATACAAATTCACTTTGTAATATGAAAACATATAACATTAGACCTCTAAACATAATGATTTTTTCATTTACAAAAAATTTTTCTTTGCTATACTAGAAAATTTGCAGAAAAGAATTTTTCTTGTGACATTATTCAATGTACATTATTTACAGTTGAAAAAGTAATCTAAAAACTACTTCAGAAAGTCAGATACATGTTATCTTTGTATGCAATTTCCCTCTCCCCTCCACCCCCAATAAAAAAAAGATCCAAAATATAAAGCAATTACACTCTTATAACTGACTACTCAACCAGATTAGTCCGAGACTCAAGTTGCTTTCTTGGCCCTTAAGAGCTTTGACTCTTAGCATATATCATTTAGCACTCAATAACCTAAGTTTACTAATGAACCGTAGTACACAGTGGTCTAAAGAGTTAAGAATTTAGAAAGAATTTATCGCACATCTTTCTGAAGTAGAATGAAGTTTGTGGGGAGTCACTTATTTTTCTGTAATATTCTAGCTATATTTACATTAGGAAACAGCCTGATATTGTTTTACTTGCCATAATTTAAAAACAAGGTGTTAGAATCTGAAAATTCAGAACTAGATTGGAAATTGGTAATCATTTAATCCAATGCATCCTTTCCTTTTTTGACAAGGCAGGCCCAAAAAGATCAAGTGGCTTGCCCAAGGTTACATAGCTAGTTAACAGGAGAGCTACTTTTAAGCTAATGCTTTCATATATTATCCTGCTTCTGAAACAAGTCAGCCATATTATGGGCATACTGCAGTTTTTAATATTATTTTATATATTTATTGTTTTGTTATAGAACGTAGCCAAATAAATTCAATCTGACATAATTTTAACAACATAATAAAGTAAGTTCCTTGCATTTGATAGTCAAGACTTACACAAGTGGAATGAAATACTTCCTATATAAAACTCCTGTTGCCTTATTGTATTTACAAAAGAAAGCTAATACAATGTAAAATTAGAAAAGAAACTTTAAAAATGCTTATGATATAGCAACTGGAGAAAATTTCAAAAGAATGTATTCATAGTATAAAATGCCAGTTCCTTCACAACTGAATTCTGAAACATTTTGAGTATAAAGAGAAAACTTGGGTTTTCCTCTCTCATCTAACAGAGCCAAAATTAACTCTAAATTATTTTTTACAATTACAAAATTAGAAACCTCTGTAGATTTATCTTAGACAGTTTGCAGACAATTGAAAATTAGTCCAATTTTTTTTTTAAAAATCCCTAATTCCTTTGGTATTACTTAAAAAGAGTTGGACTCCAGCAGTTCATTTTGCTTCATAGCTACCTGAGAGGTAAATGCATTGGAACTGGATACCACCATCACATAAGGCTGTGGCTGTTGCTCAGTTTTCTCAATGTCTTCTTTCAAATGATCTTCAACCTTTTTCTCAGCTTCCTGCGTAAGAGTTTTTGTTTCTTGTGCTTTGATAACTGAAGTGATTACAGTGCCAGGTGGGTGAGCAACCAGTTGTGAACTTCGAGGAGAAAAAGTCACCACAGGAGTAGTAGCACTGAAGGATGGGGATGAAGTCATGCTGACGGTTCCATTACAAATGGATTGAACATTGCTAGTAAGGACCTGCTGAACCTGGGTAGGGCTAAAGACAATTGAAGGAGAGCCTGGCTTCTGTGACTGTAGCATGACATTTTCTTTCAGTACTGTCATGGGCTGTGATGATGGAATGGCTTGTAAAATAAATTTCTGAGACCCAGAACCTGCTGAGGGATCTGTGCTGGCTATAACCGTTGTAAGTGGCACTGTCTGGAGTGTTACTGCATGCAACTGCTGACTCCCAGGAGACACGACCACTGGAACTTGGGCTGGAGCCTGTATAGTCCTATTGAGATTACCAAATAAAAGCGAGATAATTAGCATATTCTACATCATTTAAAACCTTATTATTTGACAAGTCATTCTGACAAAATTAAGTCAACATTTCAAATGCTACTTCCATGTTTTGTTTTGTTTTTTCCCAGTACCAGGGATTGAGCTCAGTGAACTCAGGACCTTGCAGGTGTGGCACCACTGAACACATCCCAAGATACTCCCTTTTTTTTTGGTACAGAAGATTGAACTCAGGACCTTGCACTTGCAAGGCAGGCTTGCTGCCACTGAGCTAAATCCCCTGCCTTACTTCCCATTTTTTTTGGTACCAGGGATCGAACTCGGGTCCTTGTGCTTGCATAGCAGGCGGCAAAACCACTGAGCTAAATCCCTGGCCCCCACATCCCATATTTTTAACACAGCATAACAATCATCCCGGCAGACCTTGTATGAAACACTGTATATACATACTTGCCAAACACAAAACTCTCAGGTCAGCCAATCACGATGGTGCCTGCCTGTAATCCCATCACTGTGAGAGGCTAAGGTAGAAGAATTGTGAAGTTCAAGCCCAGCCTGGGATACTTATGAGTTAGCAGAACCCTGTCTCAAACCAGAGCGGGGGTGGGGGAGGTGTTAGCTCAGTGATGCCGCCACCTGCCTCACAAGCACAAGGTACTGGGTTCTGAGTTCAATCTTCAGTACCAAAACAAACAAACAAAAAAAAGGGCTGGGGATGTAGCTCAATTTGAAGCCCTGTGTTCAAAACAAAATAAAACCCCTTAGGCCGTTAACTACAATGGCATCTAATGAGTGCTTTGAAAAACTGGTCTATATACATTGCCACAGTAATACAAGTAGGGAACTAGTTTTCGTGGGGAAGGACACCAAAATCCTTAGCAAAGGGCAGGCATGAGTGCACATGCCTGTAATTCTAGCTACTCAGGAGGCTGAGGCAGGAGGACCACAGCCTGCCATCCTAGCAACTTAGTAGACCCTGCATCAAAATAAGAAAAAAGGGAGTAGGGATATAATGCTGTACTCCTTGGGTTTAATCCCCAATATGAAAACAAGGAAGTGGAGAGGGAGGAAGGAATGAAAAGAAAGAGGAAGGAGGGAAGAAAAAGTTTAGAAGTTATGCACAATCTGCTTGAAAGAAAATTAGCAATTTAAAAGCAAATCTGTTTAATATTTGGGGCATAAGGTTATCAACATATTCAGAACAATTACCAAACTTCATATAATTTGCTTCATTGTATGAAGTTTAATTCATTCAACTTTTTTTTTTTTTGGTACCTGGGATAGAACTCATGACGTTGCATTTTGGAGGCAGGTATGATGCCACTGAGCTAAATCCCTGGCTCATTCAACTTGTTTTTAAACTAACATATAAAGAAGAAATGCTCAAGTAAAAACAAAAAAACCTTGTTTTAAATGTATATATGACAAAATTCTCAGAATTTTAATAGCTCATATATTTGTATAAAACAAGTCCTAATTATAACTGAGAGTTCTTAGGCTGCCAGAGAGTAGTAAGTGAGGTAAAACTTTGGCAAAACTAAAATAGAAGTAAGTGTGTTTTAACAATTTCCGAAGCCCAAATAATGTTCGCAAAATTCATTTAAGCCAGGCCTGAGGGTGCAGACCTGTCAATCCCAGCACTCTGGGAGGCTGAGGTGGGAGGATTACAAGTTCAAGCCTAGCCTGGGCAACTTAGTACGACCTTGTCTCAAAAGGGGTTGGGGTCTTAATACCCAGTACCTACAAAAAAACAAAAAAATTAACACCAACAATGTAACAAAAATCCTTTAATACAAAATCTAGTTTTATTATTATTCTCCTTTTTGAAGAAAATGGTACATAATTGATCTGAGTCAATCTTAATTTTAAAAGCTTATACCTGTGAAATTTATAGTTATGGTCACTGTTAATATAAAACAATTGAAAAAACTCAGCATCTGGATCTCAACTGTTTTCTCTGAATTCTGTATTTTATGAAAGACATTTGATTTTTACTTCAAAATCTAACTACTAGATTAATTCCCATACGTGTCCTGTCACATTCTTGAGAAATCAAATTGTGGAGGAAAATATAAATGGGCTAGGTGGCAATAAGAAACAAAGACCCAGTGCAACTCAGAAGTTCAAAGGAAGTGGGAAGACACCAGGTGACTAATGCCTACCCATTTACCTGGGATACTACTTCCTAAGTTCAGACTGCCACCCCAGTCACCACTGGGAGCAATCTATAGCAAGATATTAACAGCTTTCTTGAAGGAAGATGCTAAAAGAGAACATGGTTTCTCTAGTGTGAAAAACTATAAGTATAAATAAGGATCAAAATGTATAATTGAGGGCTGGGGATTTAGCTCAGGGGTTCCTTCCGTCGCCTGCCTTACAAGTGCAAGGACCCAAGTTCAATCCCAGGTACCAAAAAATAAAAAATAAAATAAAATAAAATTAAATTAAAAAGTTATAATTGATATTGTGAAGTAGGAAGAAAAGGTCTAAAGGAGTAGAGGAAGTGAGAGGGGTAGGGGAAAGGAAAGAAGGGAAAAAATATGAGAAGAAAAAAATAGAAACTAAGTCTTTGTAAATAGAGAAGGGTGGAGGGGGATGAAGGGAGAGGAGGGGAATGGGGAAAAAATAAGAACCAAGAGAGATTATGTAAAGGTACAAGATCCCAGTGATGAATGTAACTGTACTGTATACCTAAAATATACCAATAAACTTAATGTAAAAAAAAGAGAGAACATGGTTTGGGGAAAAATATTTTAATACATAAGCAGGGTATTGCTGAGAATGAAGGCCAGATAAATTAATATTAGGGGGCTGGGGATTTAGCTCAGTGGTGCCGTCACCTGACTTGAAAGCACAAGGTCTTGAGTTCGATCTGCAGTACCAAAAAAAAAATTTAATATCAGGGAAGGACAGGTGACTTGGGAGGAAAGAGAATAATTTTGGAAACCAGGGAGCATTTCCAGAACACAGTGTGCTTCTCTTCTCCTCCTTTCATCTGAACTGAGGTATGCTGGGTTGAATAAGAGTCTGAATATAGTTCGTAACCCTACATACAGGCAGATAATATTTTTTTAAATAAAGGCTCAAGGGTTTTCCATGCCAAGAGTTTACATGTGTCCATATAGATAAAACAGTCCTTGGCATACTTAGCACACAGATTGGATGTACATATATACATACATACATCTATGCGTGTACAGTATTTCTCTATATACCGTAAATAGATATCCTTGCCACCTTGTAAATACTATTAGCCCACATTTTACATGTGAAGCCATAAATGACTTTCATGTTAAAAGAGCCCCGTTAGATAAGAAAGGAGGCTATCTGCCTTCAGAACTACATACCTGACCATTTCAGCATACTTCTACCTCTTAAATCCTGAATAACTTCAGCTAAAAATAAATATTTACTATTACATCCTTAAACTTCAGGCTTTTTACAGTGTTGGGAATTGAACACAGGGCCTCATGCACACTAGGCAACTGCTATAGGTCTGAGCCATGTCCCTCTTTAACACACACCTCTCCCCCTCTGTTTTTTCTAAGTTGCGGCACAAACAATCATATGGAAATTTTTCATATTGCTAATTATGGCTACCACTAAGACTTTCAGTACTTTTGTTCAAATTTTTTAAACATAGCCTTTTCTTAAGAAATAAGATAGTGTTAGAAAACATACTTACCTACAGTATCAACACGGTAAGTATACTGGCCTATTTGAACAAGCTCTAGAACAGTTTTCACTAGGGCCTGGGATTTAGCTCACTGGCACCACACCTGCTTTGCAAGCGCAAGGTTCTGAGTTTGATCCCCAGTACCATGCAAAAAACAAACAAAAACAACAGTTTTCACTAATACAAATTCAGAGATTAAAGAACAAAAATATTGTGAAGTCTCCCCAAGTACAGGAATTTCTAATTATTTTTTTTAATGATTCAGCTGTGTCCTGTTATATAGCATGGGTTATGTTTTAGTTAACTTTTATTTTTTGGTACCAGAGATCGAACTCGGGTCCTTGCGCTTGCAAGGCAGGTGGCAGAACCACTGAGCTAAATCCCAGGCCCTATTACGTTTTTAAAATGTTTCTAAATTTCTTGTAACCAACTGCTACAATATCAGTAATTTGCAATTTGAAGCCCGGGGATTTAGCTCAGTGATTCTGCCACCTGCCTCGAAAGCGCAAGGTCCTGAGTTCAATACCCCGTACCCACCCCCCAAAAAAGTTCTGAGGCCAAGAGAAATAAACAATGTAACATTTAGCTTTTGTTGAAGATCTAATTCAGTATGTCAAGAAGTACCCTTTGTCACAAACATCTGTAAATTTGTAAGATTAAGTATTATGATCTTGATCTTATAGATGAGGAAATACACTCAGAATAGTTGGATTCATTTTCACACTTAATAACTTGGAAAGCTGGAAAGATATGCCTACATTGTTTCTAACGCCATTAAATTGAACTTAAGATAACCTATACATTATATATTTTTAGAGGGTAATCTATTTTAAAAACCCCAAGACAAACTACTAATGTCTCAGTAAATATTAGAGAAAAAGAAGTTATGTTATATAGATGTACTTCCAAGTTTAACAGGGACAATTTTTAGAAAATATTTTACCAGGTTTATTTTATTGTTGATTCTTTTCTTAACATGAACCCAGAGTCAAATTTAAACTCATAAAAACTGAGCACATATTCTGTAAGTCAATTAAGAAAAGCTTAACTGATTCAACCTAGATACCATGTTATTTATGAGATGAAATGAATGAAGAAAAAAACTTGAATGTTGTTGCCTTCAAATATCTGATAATTCATGTGATTTGTGTAAATCAGCAGGTTGAATGGAAAGTCATTAAGCTTATTGCTTTGGACCAAACTGCTCTTTTCATTAAAATATTACTTCTGCCATGTGCTACATGTGACCAAGTCCCTTCACTCCTCCATGCTTCAGTTTCCTCCTCTATAAAATAAGGACAATACCTACGCCTCAGTGAATTGTAAAGTTCTACACATCTCTATATACAAAGTGTATGAAATACAAAAAATATTGACTATAACTCTTATTGCTATAATAATTTAATAATTTACTCTAGGAAGCTGAGGCAAGAGGATTGTAAGCTGGAGCCTAGTCTGGGAAAGTTAGGGAGACACTGTCTCAAAAAAAGACAGAATATTTAAAAGATGAATGATAAAGAAAATGTGTGCATGCTGGGCATGGTGGTGATGCCTGTCATCCCAGCACTCAGGAGGCTGAGGCAGAAGGACTGCCAGAATTTGAGGCCAGCCTGGGTCACACAGTAAGCTCAAGGCTAACCTGAACTATATATACAGCAAGACTCTGTCTCAATCAAATCAATAATAAAATGTATAAAAGACTGCATGTACACTGCACATGAATATTAATATACAAATGATTCGCTATGTGAGCTTTTAAATTTGAAAAAGTTAAAAAGTTACGTATTTCTTCATTCTGTAACTAGTTCACTTAAATATTTCACTACTGTAAGAGAAAGAATTTATACACTACTTCAAAATAAATTGTATAAATGTGAATGGACATAATGTGTCAGATATTATGTTAGGTGCTAGGAAAATAACATCGAATAAAATATGGCTCCTATTGATTTCAATATGGAGATAAAAATATATAGAAGAGAAGCATTAAAAACAACTAAAATACCAGGTTTATATAACAGATATAGTCAGGCAATCAGCTTTATCTGGAAAGAAAGAAAGGTATTCTGAGAAGAAAATGAGAGCTAGTAGGTGAGGCTACAAAAACTGGATACATTCTATGGGCAATATGGATCTACCAACATCTCTAAAAAGACAGCAAAACTACTTTAGAAAAATGACATGTAGTAATACAGATTGAGTATACCTAATCCAAAATCCAAAATTCTTTCAGTGAGGACATGATGCCAAGTGAAAAATTCCACGCCTGACCTCAAGTGATAGGTTACAGTCAAACCTCACCACTTAAACACAGTTTGAATACAACTGCTAAAAAATTTGACCAAGTCACTCCAAAAAGGGATCCCCAGTGATTACCTGTGGTAACAGTATGTCTCCTAAATGGACAACATGTTAAGAGGACAAATAGCCTATAAACCATACTTTCAATTAAGCAATTATAGGCAAACAAATAGGAGCTAGAGGCAAATAAAATAGAGTGAACATTAATTAAGTGCTCTTTTAATAAATGTTAAAAGATATATCATTCCTGGGCCAGGGATGTAGCTCAGTGGTTCCACTGCCTGTCTTGCAGGTGGCAAGGTCCTGAGTTCGATCCCCAGTGCCAAAAAAAAAAAAAAAAAAAAAAAAGATGTATCATTCCTGTCCAACTAAAGTAGAAAAAGTCAACTTGCATCATTTTAAGATTTAAGATTTCACAATGTACAGGCCGGGGATTTAGCTCAGTGTTGCTGCACCTGCCTCGCAGTGCAAGGTCCTGAGTTCGATCCCTAGTACCAAAAAAAAGATTTCACAATGTCAAAAATTTAAATGTACTATACAAATCATCCAAGTCTGTCTTGATTCTAGGTAACATGAACTTACATCAAGATCAACTGAACAAAACCTCAGCATTTATATTCTGGAATACACCAGCATAGAAGTGAAATGTGACAATGATAAAGAGTCATTTTTGTTGGTTCTGGAAGAGCTCCTATGTGTCATTATAATTCAGGTTCTGGAAAATCATGACATGAAAAAGGAGAAAGGGAACAAAAAGCTGTAAATATCCATCTAATGTATCTGCTGGCCTTCTTTGCCAGAGAAGAAAAGTGAGAGCTAGCGCTCGAAATCAGATAAAACTAGCCCCAAATTTCTGAAGATGAGTCTAAGGCAGATAGGGATTTTTTGGTCAATTTGGTTTTTATCATCTTTCTTGGACCTCTGTGGCAAATTTGATTTGATTCAACTAAAAAAAAATTTCTAACTTTCAGAATTCTAAAACCTAAAAGAGAGGACCTTAGATTCTTGGTATCCCTATCTATTTGAACTCCAGAACTATTAGAAGATAGGCGCATCCTAAGAAATAGTATTTATTTCTTGGACTCCTACGCATTCTAAATTCGGTAGTATGTCAATTTATGTTGAATTTTTGCAGATTCTCCTTTGGTTTAAAAAACCACCTGACAGCTGAGTGTGGTGACGCACGCTTGTAATCCCAGCACTCGGGAGGCTGAGGCAGGAGGATTGCGGTGAGTTCGAGGCCAGCCCGGGCTACATAGTGAGTTCAGGGCCAGTATGAACTACAAAGGGAGACCCTACCTCAAAAAACAAAAAAAGGGCCGGGGATTTAGCTCAGTGGTTCCACTGTCTGCCTCACAAGCGCAAGGTCCCAAGTTCGATCCCTGGTACCATTAAAAAAAAAAAAAAAAAAAAAACTGAAACCATTCTCTGGATTTTCTTACATTTGAATCATTCCTTGTTTGGATCAATCTAGTGGAGTAGACTTAAATTGATAGAGTAACATCAAATATTGATCCAGAAATCAGACTGATATAATAATATATATTGCTCTTGCAACAAGCTGTCAACCAAGAGTCCTAGCTTCAGGTGGGGGATGTAACTCAGGGGTAGAGCACTTGCTTAGTGTGCATGAGGCCCTGGGTTTGATCTCCAAAACTGCAAAAGAAAAAAAAGAAACAAAAAAACCTCTGTCTTAAAATGTTCATTTCTGAATCTTGATCCACTTAACAAATAATGTCTCTAGTCAGAAACATATAGCAATATGCATCATTTGGTTGGTTATCTCACCTAATACTCTGGATGGAAGAATTTAATGTTTCTTCCTGCATGCTACTGGTTATGGATGCTTCTTCTGGGACAGCTTGCACTGGCTGTACTACATGAACAGTCCGAAAGAGTTGGGTAGGATATGGAGACTGTGACGGCTGCACTGTCCTCAAAACTTCTGGTGGCTGTGCAATTTCCACAGGATCTTTGGTTTTTGTAGCTTTAGAATTCCCTGGTTTTAGAACAGTAGTGGCTCCTCCTTTAATTCCTGGGCTTGAAGATATTCTTGATCGGCTGGCTTGATTCCTACTTGAAGTGGCTGTTGAAGACAGCGATGGATTTGAAGGCTCAATGCTGGAACTTGGATCTTCATCATCTATATAGATAAGATCTTTTGGCATTTCTTTAAATTGATACACCAAGCGCTGACCTTCCACTTTTGCCAGAATACCTCTTTGGTAATAATACCTATTGAAAGCAGACAATTTCATCAATGTCTTATTCAATCAAACAAATTAAAATAATATTTAACAAGGGCTGGGGATTTAGCTCAGTGGTTCTGCTGCCTGCCTCGCACACAAGCACAAGATTCCAAGTTCAATCCCATACCAAAACAAAAAATTTAACAAAATCAAATTTTCCTAAGCCTAAGCAAACTTTTTAAAGTTGAAATAAGTGAGAAAATAAAGAAGGGCAGTTATCTTGTATAGGATAAACACAATTTATGCAAAGAGAAATGTCCTTATTATTAATTAAATCTAAAACCAATTATGATTAAGGAACTGTTGAAAAGTGACTGGCCCTTTATTTTTCTCCCTTCCTCTACCTTGCTGCTAATTTGCTGGAAGAATCAAGTCTACTACAAACCTCAAGAAATTGTTTCCCCTCCACAGCTTCCTATAACATTCCTACCACTGTAAATTTTTTTTCAACATTTAGAGCCTTTATTAACAAGGTACAGTTGTCAGACCAAGAGCCAGCCATCAACATACAACTTTATTTCCCACCTAAAGTTAGTAAGATTATATTTTATTGTAAATATGACACTGAGGCAATATACCAAGAATTAAAGTACAATCTTAAAGTTTTAATTTCACACTTTGAATACCAAAAAAGTAATAATTCCTACAACAATGAAAATATGACGAATTAACTACACAGAAAAAAAATAGATATTTAAGCCATTTCATTCTTAATACTGTACAGTAAAAACACATGTACTTAAAATTTCAGTGTACAGATAGCACACTTCATAAGATTATTATTCATTTTTTAGGAACAAAATCTTTGTAAATAGGGAGGAATGGAGGGGTTGAAGGGAGGGCTGGGCAAGGGTGAAAAATAAGAACCAAGAGAGACTATGGAAAGGTGCAAATTTCCAATGATGAATGTCATTATATTGTATACTTAAAATGTACCAATGATTAGAATGAATAATCGATAATGCAAAATAGGAAGAAAAGGTCCAAAGGGGTAGGGGTAGTGGGAGGGGCAGGGGAAAGGAAAGAAGGGAAAGGAAAAATGATGAGAAATGGAAAAAATGGAAATAAAGTCTTTGTAAATAGGGAAGGGTGGAGGGGGTGAAGGGAGGACTAGGAAAGGGGAAAAAATAAGAACCAAGATCCATTATGTAAAGGTATAATTCCCAATGAGAAATGTAATTGCCTTGTATATCTACAATGTACCAATAAAAGAATTTAATAAAGTGCAAAAAAAAAGATTATTCATTTTAAATAGTACAAATGTTTACAAAGAACATTTAACTTAAATTTCATAGTTGCTTATAAAATAGTACTAGCAAGACTGACCTATATAGAGAAGTGAGTATCTTGCCAAAAGAAATGGTAAACTACAAATATAAATCACAATGTTGAAAATCTCATGGTGCTCTATAGGAAAATCAATGAAGACAAGTCAATCTTTCTTCTAGGGGAAATACTTAGCACTACAAATTTAAAGTGTAAATTTAAATACAAATTTCAAAAAGTAAATTTAAACCTCTCATTGCCACATAATCATCTGTTGTGAAAACAATAAAAATAAAGTACTTTCTGAGTATGTGTACATCAAAACCGAAAGTTAGTTTTCACTTTTTCCTTTATTGGCAACTTTCACTGCATGTTTAGGTTTTGGTTGCCAGAGAGCATTTTTCACAAATCTTGAAGCTGCACCTTTGTCCAGCTTTGCCAGCTTTTTTCTTGTCTGTTATTTCCTTGACTCTGTTCATGTATACTCTGATTCTTTCCAATTCCTGCTTTACTGGATGTTCCTTAGGATTGACTCCTTGAGTTGCCAAATAAACCCAAAACATTGAATTTAATGTGTATGCAGAAACTAAATCCACTTTAGCTTGTTCAAGTGGGCCCAACTTCTGCAACAACTCATTTCTTCAAAGAGACATCATGGTCTTCAGCATCTCATCGACAGCACCTATGGAATTCTCAAATGTTGACAAATACGCATGAATTTCTACTGGATAGTCTTCATTAATTTCTTCACCTGCCATTATGACCAACTCTAGACCTTCAATTCCTGGCTCCTGAAACCCCTACCACTGTAAATTTGATTCAGTTTTGTGCATAAAATTTAATGATGTACAATAGAAGTGGTCAAATATCATCACTGATTTTAGTAAAATCAAGTACCTAAAAATGTAAGTCAGCTGGGCATGATGGCACATGCCTATAACCCCAGCTATTCAGGATCACAAGTTAGTGGCCAGCCTACCTAACTTAGCAAGGCCTTGTTTAAAATTAAAAATTAATTTTTAAAATAAAATATAAAAGGCTGGGTATAGAGCTCAATGGCAGAACACTTGCATAGAATGAGTGAGGCCCTAGGTTCAATTCCCGGCACTATTTTTTTTAAAAGTACTATTTTTTAAAACTACTATTTAAAAAAAAAGAGGCTAAGTTAAAAATACTAAAAGCCAAAGCTAAATAGTTCTATTTCAAAATAGCCAGACTACTTATCCTCTAAAAAATTATTCAGATCATTCTATTTCTAATCTTTCTCAAATACACATATATCTTGCAGAATAAATGACATGATCACAGAAAAACTAATACGGAGTGTAAGAATAAAATGGTACCTTTCTTTAAAATTGTCATGATACCTGATATTAATATCAAGACATTAATTTACTACACTACAATGAATAACATATCACAACTAAGATTCATGTTTTAAAATGCACCTTCTTATTAAGTACCACCATTAGCATTATTGGTACTTTGGGCTGAATTTAAGTATAATGACTGAAAACATATGAGCCAGATAGCTAATTTACAATTCCTAAAGACAGACATTTCAAATAAAACACAGGTTGAATATCTTTTATTTGAAATGTTTAGGACAAGAAGTATTTCAGATTTTGTAGTTTTTCTTTTTCTTTTTTTTTTTTTTTTTGGTACTGGGGATCGAACTCAGGACCCTGCGCTTGTGAGACAGAACTAAACCAGGAGGAGGAACCACTGAGCTAAATCCCCGCCACTGTTTTTGTTTTTTAATAGTTGCACAGACTTTACAGGTCAAGCATCTCTAATTGCAAAATCCAAATTTGGAAAGGCTCCAAAATTCAATTTGAGCATTTGTCAGTGTCACTGTTAAAACAGTTTGGATTTTGGAGCATTTTGGCTTTTTTTTTTCTTTTTTGGATTAAGAATGCTCCACCTTACCTAAGCATTTTTTTTTTACATAAAGATTTTTTTAAGAAGGAAAACATTTTCCCTGATTGGAGTAAGATTTTAATTTAAATATGTACTGATTTCTATTAATATCATGCCCTTGGCACTTCAATAAATAAAATTCACCATTTCTTTAATCCTATAATTTTTAAAAATTACCTGTTTTTTCAATATCTAAGAAATGATGTTTTTTTCCTTTGGCAGCTGTGGGCATTAAACCCAGGCCCCTGACTATGCTATGCAAGTGCTGTACCACTGAGCTACATTTTAAGCCTGTTGGAAATGATATTCTTAACAAAACAAGAACTTCACATACCTGAGTGCTCGCCCCATGGTCTCATAATTCATATCAGGTTTGTTTTTGTGCTTCCCCCACAACCTGGATACTGCTTTAGAATCGACCAATTTAAAAATGCCTTTTTCTCGCTGGGTCCATTTGATGTATTTAGGACAGGTAGCTTTGTCCTGGAGCAGGGCCAGTAAAAACTCCCAAAGATAAATTGTGTTCCCTGAAACAGAAAAGTGAATGAATATATGTAGGTCTGTATGTATGTAGGTCTGTATGTATTTTGAGACAGGGTCTCACTATGTAGGTTCAGGCTGACCTTAGACTCATGATGTAACCCAGGCTGCCCTCAAACTTGCAGCAATCCTCCTGCCTCAGCCTCCTGAGTGGTGGGATTATAGGCATGCACTACCACTCTCAGCAGAAGAATTTATTTTTAAATGACTAAAATTTCACATGAAAGAGCACAACAAAACTCTACTAAAGTCTTGTAAGTTTCATCATATATTTACACAAAAATATTACTTCAGTTAGTACTGCTGAGATAATTCAGTTAGTATTGGTGATAGTATGGTCATAATTTTTAGGGTCTAATAAAGACTATTTGATTAGTCCTCTACAAAATATCTGAACAGAAACAATCTTGTCAATTAGATTTGTGACAACTTAGGGAGAAAGGACTTTGGAGTTGTTTTTTTTTTTCTTTTTAAGAACTGTCACATAGAAAAAAAATGAAAGAGTTATATAAAACCTTTCAATAATTGATCTTTTTATATTAGAGCCAGCAGATCAGCCATAACAGCTTTCTTCAAATCTGGGCAACAGTTATGAAAATAATAGAATGACGGGACAAAGTAATAACATGTCTATAAACTGAAAATCTAACAGGGCTGAACTCTTGCAGGAGATTGATTATTTAAGTTTAAAAATGGATTATTTTGATAGGTAAATGAAAATAACTAAGGATATATAGAATTTCTTAAAACTTTCTTAGAGAAATTGGCAACTATATCTTACAAGTACTTGGTAGCAATGGATTCCATTTCAGTATATCGAAAAAACTAGTGGTTTCTATTTATAATATGAAGACAAAACAACTGGAATGCTATTTGAGCAGTAAGTATTATAGAGAAATTACAGTAATACTTACCCTTCCCATCTTTGTTTTTCTTCTTCACAGATATATTTGGTGTAGTAGCTGGGGAATCTGGTCGTGGGGGCTTAGTTTTTCTCCCTGAAATTAGAATAGCTTTGCATAAATATTTGCCCTCAAAAGTGAGAGTATGGAGAATTTAGCCATTTTGTCGTTTATCCAAAATTTTAAATCCCAAATGCTTTATATATTGGTCATTTAACTGATCTCTAAAAATGTTTATTGAAGAAAAGTAACTTCAATAAAAACTGAAATTAATGTAAAAATTAATGTGGATTAGATCATAAATACACCTATGAAAGAAATGGTACTTTAAGCCAGAAGCAGTGATGTATTTCTGTAGTCCCAAATACTCAGAAGTTGAGGCAAGAAGATTGCAAGTTCAAGGCCAGCCTGGGCAGCATACTGAAACTCTGACTCCAAATTTTAAAAAAATATGCCAGGGATTTAGCTCAGTGGTTCCAGTGCCTGCCTTGCAAGTACAAGGTCCCAAGTTCGAACCCTGGTACCAAAAAACCAAAAAAATAATAATAATAATTTTTTAAAAGCACTGACAAAATTTCAAAAAGGAAAAGTGAAGAATGAGAGAGAAACTGGCTCTGTAAAGCGAGCTTGGGGTAAGTAAAAGATGAAAAACCAAAATAAAAGTACACCCTGGAGGATACAGGTTGAGCTATTGTGAGGAAAACCACAATAGCCCCAAACAAAATTTTTAAAAAGGACTGTGATATGTAGTCCAGTGATAGAGTACTTGCCTAGCATATGCAAGGCCTTAGGTTCATCCCCAGAACTGCTTTAAAAAAATAAAAAGGAAAAAAAAAGATACTTACCTTTTCTGTAAAAATGAAGTTGAAGTTCAAATATTGTATCTCCTCTTTAAGGTAATCATATTGATTGTGCTTTCTTAAAAATTTGGAGAGTACTTGATATTGGTAAAACTTGGGCTTAAATCATTAGCCGTATGGGTTTATCTACTGGCTATATAAGCTTTTTAAGGCAGAAATTGCTTTTTTTTTGCATACAGTTCTCAAATATTAGAAACTTTTCCAAGCTATAAATACAGAAAATATGTGCAGCACAATTTTGATGAACTATAGAACCAATTTCTTGCGGGGGGGGGGGGTAGAGGGGTGTTTTTTTTGGAAATAGGTTCTTGCTATGTAGTTTAGGCTGGTCTTGAATTCATTATGTAGCCTAGGCTGACCTGGAACGCATGGAGATCCTCCTGCCTCAGCCTCTCAAGTGCTGGGATTACAGGTATGAGCCACCATGCCTGGTATATCTTGTGTATTTTTAAACTCTCATTTTTCTCTGTCTATTTCAATGCATAGCAACCAACTTCATGGTTATGCACTATCACCTTCTGAATAAATCTATCCCAATGGCTTTAATCTAGGTTGATCAACTATTATAAAGCTTTGTCGTGATCTTCTTTTGCTACTTATCTAGAACCATAGTTTGGTAGCATCATTTCCTGTATTTAGTTGAGATGATCATGCTGCTAGAGCAGTCTACCATTCTGTATATAGTTACGACCTCCTTCCTACACATTCTTGAGGTTGATGCTTTCTGGTCCGATTAAAGGATGAAGTTTTGGTTATTATATAGCAATCTTACAAAAGCAAAATTGTGGAGGTAAAAATGACAAGGTTCACTAACAACCTATCCCCAGAAACTGAGTAGGAAAACGGTTCTGAGTTATTGGGGTGAATGAGTAGGTCAAAAGATTAAGATGCTCAAAAGGCCAACAGAGGGCCAGGGATTTAGCTCAGTGGTTCCACCACCTGCCTCGAAAGCCCAAGGTTCTGAGTACAATCTCTGGTACCACACACACAAAAAAAGGCCAACAAAAAGCTGCAGACTGCCCAAAGTACACATGGGTGTGGTAGCACATGCTTGTAACTCCAGTACTCCAGAGGTTGAAGCAAGAGGAGCACGGCAAATTCAAGACCAACCTGGACTATGTAGTGAATTCAAAGCCTGGCAAGATCTTATCTAAAAATAAATAAGTAAACAAAAAGACTGCTGGGCTGATGATTTAGTTTAGTGGTGCCTCGGCCTGCCTTGCAAGTGCAAGGTTCTGAGTTCAATCCCCGGTACCAAAAAAAAAAAAAAAAAAAAAAGACTGCTAAATGTATCCTAAATCAGCTAGGTACAACTTTCTAATCACCACAGATGTCTGCAAAGAACTCATTTATGAAGCAGATTCTCCTGGCTGAGTGTCATGATAACAATTATTAGAAGTCAGGACATGAGTAACCTCCTACCATCTCATTTGAAGCTATATACTTGCTTTTTCTTTTTTCCCATTGCCTTCCTCCAACTAGTTTTACTCATGTCAAGTAGCCTATCCAAAATCCATCCTTTCCATCACTTTCTTTACTACTCAAGGTAGCAATGTACGCAGCTTTGCATGAATTATAGCTTGTTGGGTAGAACATTTTTGATTGACTATTTTTTTTTCATTACCAGGGATCGAACTCAGGACCTTGCACTTCCCAGGCAGGCACAGCACCACTAAGCTACATTCCTGGCTCTGACTGACTGTTATTTCTTTGAATCACTTTGAATATATCTAATCCATCCACTTCTAAGCTGCCAATCTAAAAATCAATGTGTTTAGGGCCAGGGATGTAGCTCAGTGGCACCTCACCTGCCTGGCAAGTACAAAATCCTGGAGTTTGATCCCTGGTACTGCAAAAAAATACAATAAAATAAAAAACATTCAATGTTCTTTAAGTAATGTACTTTCTCTCTGGTTTGTTTCTTCTTTTTAGGGGGACTTGGGAAGAGATGTTTGGATAGTCTACGTTTTTAGTCTCGATTCCTGGATTTATATGTAGTTAACACTATTTAAGATCCACAATGCTAAAGATTAATGTTTTTCTGTAAAATTCACAGTGACTGTCTTTGAATATTGCCTCTTCCTCACTTTTTGGAGGCAAGAGTATTAGGATCAAACCCAGGGACTTGTGCATGCTAAGCAAGCACTTTACCATTGAGCTACATCCTCAACCCTGGCTTCTTTCTTTAACCTATGTTGAAACTCATCCTTTTTTGTTGTATGTATTAAAAGTGTGTTCCATTTCATTGCTGACTTATTTATTCAAATCAGCAGTTGCTGAACATTTGGGTGGTTTCCAGTTTGGGGCAACTGCAAATAGGGCTGCCAAGATTATTCATGTATAAGTTTGTCAATAAACATAGTTTCATTTCTTTTGTTTAAATACTTAATAGCAGAATGGGTAGGTGACATGATAAGTATATATAAAGATTTTTAAGAAACTAATAGAACTATTTTCCATAACAATTTTTCTCCATGAAGGTGGGGCAATCATATGGCTCACCTCATTTGTTTTCTCTCACAGAACGAACACTGGCTTTTGTTGACTTATATCCAGTTTCCTTAGTACCACTGTTTCATATATTTTGTCTGTTATTCCAATTTGGCTAGCAGAGGAAGTGCTACCTCGTCTTTTTCAATAGTCTTATTCTTGGATAATGTTATTTATCAACTGGTCAATTCCTTGACCATATTTTTATTTTTATTTAACAACTATAATCATCTTCAAAGTTTCTATTTGATAATTTTATTATCTGTGGCTCTCAGAGAACTAACCCTAAAGGTTTCTACATCTGCTGCTTTTTACTCAGTATCTTCCTCATGTATTTTGTGATATCATGATGTTAGTCCTCCTTAAACAAGGCTTTATCTGAGGAAATCCTGTGTAGCCTAGGTTGAATGTATAACCCACCAGAGCAATTTTATAAGAGCTCTGCTTGGTGCCCTAAAGTTACTACTAGCCTGGGGCCACTTATAATGTTAATTGCTTGGCCGGGAATTTCTACAGTCAGCAATAGTTTAGTCTCATTGTAAACCTAGTATCAAGGAGGCCAAGGATTATAAATTCTCAAAGGAAAAATTTCTCCACTTAGAGCCTTGGCTGACAAATACAAACTTCCTTGATGTCTGTATCAGCAAGTAGAACTTTCCCCTTCAAGAGTCCTACTTATTTGCTCACATCTCTGTGTAGCAGTCCACCTTGCATAGGTCCAAGACCTAAGCTTCTGCCTCAGAGGGGCAATAAAGCCACTGCCCATACTGTAGCCTTCTCAGGCCTTCAGACCTGCAATAGTAGCTATCGCAGCTACTTTACTCTTCATTTTTGGCTCCTGGGATTTCCCTTCCTTTCATGTGAACTTAGATTATTGATGGTGAAGAAAGAAAACAAAAACAAGAAAAGAATATTGGTAGCTGGTGATGACATTAACCAAGATATTAAATTCAAGATATTATACAAGCAGGAACAGAACCAGAACACAAATGGAAAGGGAAAGAATATCAGAATTTAGAATGCACATGTGGTCCCAATTTGTGACCTTAATCATTCTTCTTTAACACATTTCAACATTTTTCTCAATTACTTACCTGCTGATTTCCAACTTATACCAGTTTTCCAAATGGAATCTTATACTGGAATCATCGATGCAGACTGGTGACTTTCAATCTATGCCCCTTTGGAGGAAGCTGACTTGCCCTTATCCCTAAGCTCTTCTTGAGGCTTTGAAAAAAGAGCTTAGATAAAAATATGAGGCTTGGGCCAGGGATTTAGCTCAGTGGTTCTGCCGCCTACCTTGCAAGCGGAAGGTCCCAAGTTTGATCCCCAGTACCAAAAAAAAATACGAAGCTTAAACAAGTTGGAAACTATCTTTTCTATGAGATAAACCCAATATTCTAAAACCATAAAATATTTTAAAAACTCTAATATGAAGAAATACTTAATTTTGTGCCCAAAAGATTTTTACCTGTTTTAATTAGAATAGAATTATACTACTGAATAAAAATTATGTTTAGACTTTACATCAAAGATGTGACTATATGCCCTAAAGAAATTAACTACCCACCTTTCTTTCTTTTAGGCTGTTCTGGTGATGAGGCTCCTGGTGAGTCTGCATATGTTTCTTGCACCTGCTGAGTTTCCAGCACCTCAGGAATCCCATCTAATGTGACGGATACATGGGTGATTGGGGCAACAACAATGTCATCTTCAGATGAACTAAATAAATTACTACCTAATGGAAATAAAATCAACTAAATATAATCAACTGTGTATTATAAACCAAAGTAAGTTAATAAAATCATTTCCTATTCCTAAGATTAAAGTAGAAATAAAATCTTTAAATCTATTTTGATTTTTATTTCCCCTTCTCTAAATCCTGCTGAGTTTTACTTGACTATTTCAATGTTATTCTTACTTGACTTCCTATCACCAGTCTATCTTGTCCTTTCTCTCTGTGTTAAGAGTCATGTCCTAAAACTTAAGAGTCTAATCTGACATTATTCCTCTGTACAAAAGCTTTACATTCTGAAAATCAAAAGTAAAAATTGTAGGGGCGGGAATTTAGCTCAGTGGTGCCACCATCTGCCTCGCAAGTACAAGGTCCTGAGTTTGATGCCCAGTAACAACAACAACAAAAAAATTTGCCAAAGAAAAAAGATAAGAACATCCCAAACTCCATCAAATTTCAAAATTTCCACAATCTAAAACAAATCTACCTTCCTAATCTCATCTTCCATCTACCATGAAGCTTGCATTTTAGTTATATCAAAACATTTACCTTTCATAATTTCGTTTTTAAAGATCCATGTCTGAGGCTCTATCCATTAACTTCTAATTTTACTGTCCTTTCATGTCTCCTCTACCTATTAAAAGTTTGTCATTTATAACCCAGGTTCAAATAGTCCATCAAGCCAGGTTTGGTGGCACACACTGGTAATCCCAGCTACTCAGGAGGTTGAAACAGGAGGATTTCAAGGCAAAGCTGGGCAACTTAGTGAGACTCTGGTGAAATGAAATGAAATGAAACAAAACGAAGGTCTAGGGATATAGTTCAGTGGTAGAATTTGTGCTTGTCTGATTCAAAATAAAATAAAATAAAGGCCTGGTGATATAACTCAGTGGTAGAGTCTGCGCTTGCATACCATGTGTGAAACCCTAGATTCAATCCCCAGTCCTATAAAACATCCCCCGATACTAAACATTCCCTCAATAAAAATTTTTCGGCAGGGATGTAGCTCAGCAGTGTGGCACCTGCCTGGCAAGCACAAGGTCCTGAGTTTGATCCCCGGTACCAAAAAAAAAAAAAAAAAAAAGAATCTATGACAAAAATAAAAATTTTTCAAAAGTGCTGCGAATGCACAGCCCTGGGTTAAATATCCAGCACTTCAGGTAAACAAACTGTAAGACTGGGGAAGGAAATCTATTCATTTGTGTATTATTGTCTAATGCACTGCTGCGATGAATATAGCAAATATTCATAAATATCTTGAATTGATTTAGTAATTTTATGAGCTTAAGTAATTTGTCAGAAAAAGTACAAAGTAAAATGTAGATTTCAAAATGGATCAATAATGTGACAATGAATTTTATGCCATAAAGAGATAGCAAAATTTTGAACCATTTTGCCAATCCACTTATGATTATCTATAGAGATTAGTAAATTGTAATGATCTGGGCTCATCAAAGAGATTAAGAGAGGAAATTATGCTTGATAGTTTCACCAAAGAGATTAAGAGAAGAAATTATGCATAATCTATTTGATTACTAATAAATTATTTTGTTTCTAAAAGCTTCATTCCCCCAAATTAAAGTCTTCATTAACTTAATACTTTACCAAAGGTGTAGATAACAAAGGTGCCTCAATAAGTACTATACCTTAAAATGTGCTTAGGACATTTATTAAACATGGTCTCTGATATCAAGATACTTGGCATTTAATAGAGAATGGTAAGAATAACTTTAGACAGTACATAAAAATGAACAATCAAATCACTCACTTATTCGTTTTTCATCCAGCATAGGGCCAGGAGAATCCATATTAAGGAGTGCCTCAGCAGCCTCAATAGTTTCAATTGTTTCATCCCCATTATGACAAGAAGCTTCAACTATAATACATTAAAAAAAAAAATTAGTCACAAGATATTCACTGCTCTGAAATTCATATACCGATCTCCTGAACCATGAAACATCACTTAGTATAAGTATATATACAAACTATCAACATGTACAATCTGTATCAACATGAAAATACTGTATGTGATTAATTAACTGCCTTTTTTTTTTTTTTACAAAAACTTTGCAAGATGTTGGGTGTAAAAGGGTAAGAAAAGTAGAGCATATATTCAGCAGGAAATTCACTAATCATTTCTCTGCTAATTCTTATATATTTTCCATAATTAAGGACGAGCATTGGTAAAGTATCCTAGAATGACAGGAATCCTAACGATATCACTAAACCAGTATGTCACTAAGAAAGTCATTTTGTTTCTCAGGACCTCATACTATAAAATGACAAGGTTGATAGTCTTAGATACCTTTCACCTCTAAGATCAATGCTACTACTCTGACTAGAACACAAGTTAATTAATCTCTGAATCTTATTTCATTAATGAATTACTATTTCCAAGAAATTTTAGGTACAATCACATTGTTAAGAGTCTAAACATCCTTTGGCATCATTTTTCTCTGGTGTGTTTTGTGGAACATTCATTACTCTACCATGGACTTTGCCCAATCCATGATATAAATTACATGATACCTTTAAAAGGCTAAATGTGTAATATAAAATCATGACTAATTCAGGGTTGGACTGACAGTATATAACTAAATATAGGCCTTGTAATTTTACACAAACCTAAAAAAATAAATATAAACACAACATCTGTAATGGAAGAAGACTTTCCACACAAGTAGAATAAGGTCTATAAATTTTCAGAACTTGTTAGTAGCACAACTTTTTTTCCACTTTAAAAACTTACACACAACTCCCAAAATAAAACAGATAAAATTGGTTTTGGTTTTGGTTTTTGTGTGTGTGTGTGTGTGTGGTACTGGAGAGTGAATCCAGGACCTCTGCACTGAGCTACATCCCTAGCCCTTTATTTTTTTTTTTTCCTTAAATTCTTTTATTGGTACATTTTAGGTATACAATACGTTTACAATTATCATTGGGTGCTTGTACCTGTACATGATGTATCTTGGTTCTTATAAGTATGTATCAATTTAGCTTTTTTTCTTTTTTTTTTTTTTGGTATCAGGGATTGAACTCGGGTCCTTCCGCTTGTGAGGCAGGCGGCAAAACCCCTGAGCTAGATCCCCGGCCCTGTTACC